GCTGGCAGAAATGACTTTTGGATCCAGAACTTCCTGCAGGTCTGAACGTCACCTCACCGGCACAGGGTGTCCCTCCAAGATGGAGTCGACCTTGCGGAGGTTGAGGAGCTCGTTCTCTTTCAGGTAGCCTGTCTCCGCCCACACGGCGTACAGCACAGGGGCTGCATGACCCTGAGGAGGAAGAGATGACAGAGTGTAACATCACATACTGTCTACCTGATTTGCTGGTTCAGGAGCTAGAAATACTATTACAGTTTAAAACGCTCATAAATTCTAGGGAAGTATAAGATCCTGTTTTCATGCATCTAATTCTTAATTTTTTAAAACTACCTTTCCTGCACACCTGAAAAAGTGTGTATGTGTGTTTGTGCTCAAATTAGGAATAACATTTGGCAAAGTCTGAAATTTGAACTGGGTCCTTGTGTAGACAAGTGATTAATAATATCACAATAAACATGGGTGAAAAATGTAACACGATGTCATAACCCTGAAAAAGTAAGCAAGCAGAATACATAAACTGTGTAGAGAACCAACAGGGCATTTTCTGTTTTATCAAAGAGCTGAACAAATATACACAAACACACAGCAACAATAAGCTACTCTCTACTCCTACACAGTCTGCATACAGATGGTTGAGCTACTTGGATCAAAAAGTCCAGGCAAGTTTGAAAGATAACCTGCTAACAGGAAATATGCACAACTTTGATTTTAATTTTGTGCCACAATAATTGAAATGTACTAAATGTGGAACAGCCATATATAATGATTATTACAGCGTATGATCTAGACCTGCTCTATATGAAAAGTGCAATGAGAAAACTTCTGTTATGAATTGGCCCTAAATAAATAAAATTTAATTCAATTGAATCATTTTGACATATATACATGTGCACTTCTAAATAACCACATATTTGTCACCTCACAATTAGTAAATCAGTTGTTCTAGATGATCCCTGTCTGTTGTCTCTGTGCATGTATCAGGATAACACCTGCAAACCATGTGGCTGTGTGTGTGTGCGCATGTGTTACCTTTGAGAGGATGAAGCGGTCGTTGTTGGGGTTACGGGGGTCTTCGGGTCGGTACTTCATGGTATGAAAGAACAGCACAGACATGATCTCTGCCACGCTGCAACATGATGTCGGATGACTGGAACAGAATGATGGCGAGAGAGGAATTAGACACACAGCAATCCGATTAAAAAATGTGATGTGCCTCCTGATTCCTCAGTTCAAATCTGTAAGCATGTTGTGTACACACACAGATGCAGAGAAGAAGGGAGGCAATGAGACAAAGCGGCAATCAGAGGTTGGATTTGACTCTTTAATTCATGCCAGACCAACTGCAGTCAGAGTTATGTACGCTGGTCAGACAGTCAGAAAGTAGATATATAGTATCTCTCTCACACACATAAAGAAATGTAAATGCTTTTGGAGGATGCCTCTCTTTCTTTCGCTCTCATACATGCACACACATACATATACAATACAAAGACATCATCCAATGTGTAGTCCCAAACTGTTAAAAGTCAAGACAGTTAAACACAACACAGGTTATGAGGAAGTTTTAAGTCTTGAATGTTATTCTTCTCTTTATTTTCAAACCACATGCCGATAATACCTCACTCAGGCCTCCTCCATGAAGGCCCTTTTCCTCACTCTCCTGAAATGGAAAATGTGATCAAATAATGAAAAAATAAGGAGCAAGAGATGATGAATAAACATGAGGTTGTGTAGGATGCTCTATGAAAGGGTGAAAGGTGGCTAAACCTATATTTATGGAAAATTTTGTCGAAAGAAGAATGGATTTAATTTATTAAACCTTGGAACAGAAAAGAGTAGGCTACAGTCTCTGTTTATTCTGTGCATGTTTCAGTTATGATCATCTGTCCAACATCTCAGTCCACCCATGATCAGTGTTTACTTTGTGTATTAATGCCATTGATGAAAAAAAGATGAGACAGATTAATTTATTCATTGGTGTCCTGTCAGGAGAAAAGATGTTTTTCAGTAGGCCTAATCTTTTTCTGAAATTAAACAAATCCAGGAAATATCCAAGAGCAGGGTTTACAGTAGGCTACATCACCTCATTATATCACTACTTTCTCTCCTCCCATCTGTCACCAGACAGACCTAAGAAAAAGAATTAAGAGATAAAGAGAATAACCAGGGGCAGTGGGGTTGTGGGTTGTCCTGGCCTTTCTGTGTGGAGTTTGCATGTTCTCCCCGTGTAGGTGTGGGTTCTCTCCAGGTGCTCCGAAAACATGCGGACTAGGTTGATTGGTGGCTCTAGGTGTGAATGAAATTGTGAGTGGTTGTTTGTATGTGTGGCCCTGCGATGGACTGGCGACCTGTCCAGGGTGTACCCCGCCTTTCGCCCGATGTCAGCTGGGATTGGCTCCAGCCCCCCGCGACCCTGAATGCAGGATAAGCAGTTGACGATGGATGGATGGAGAATAACCAGTTAGAGGAGAAAATCATTTAGGCTGACTCTAATCATAGGCCAACTGCCAAACGAAGCACAACAAAAGGCAAGAGGCCACTACTCAACCCTGCTAAGTTTTTTTACTTTGTGTAGTACGTTGTGTTGAATAAAGCACGCAGAAATTACAGTTTCAATTGTTTCACGTATCCTATAATTTATTATCATTTTTTAATGTTATTTTCTATCACTCCAAAAGCGTTTCTGGGCGTTTGTCCATTCGGATTTTATTTTGAAATTTCTCACCGGACGTATTTTCCTTTTTAATTACAGCTCCTTGACATTTGTGTGACAAGTTGCATGGACGCAGGCAGGCGCGGCGGGGAGGAAGAAGCGCGTCTGTGCGTTCCGCGGTTGCCTTCTGCTGCCTCCACACACCACGTAGCCCTACGAGCTGCACCGCTGACTGTAGGCTACGGGATCAGGCACCGATCCTCCTCTGTTACATAACCGATCGCAGAGCACGCAAGGGGTGAAGGTTGGAGCGGGACGCCGGTGCACCTGCAGCAGTCTGTGCCGAACCTCCAAATCCGACACGATTTAATAAATGTTTTCTGATTTGAATGGCTTTTTGGAAAGCAAACACGCCTGTTACTTAAATACATTAAGTCCCATTGCTCTCGGAAACATGACACATTCGTAAACTGAAATCCAGATGCGAAAATGACAAGTAAATTAACTTTGACCCTTTACACCCACCCAATCTCCTTTCTGGAAACGTGCGTAAATTGCGTACAACGTATGTTGGCACTGAACTGTTTTACGACAGGTGTTATGAAGATAAGACATTTTAAAGTCCCCAGTTTTGGCACACCACACAGGACGCAAATATTCTGCATCTGCACCTATATAGCTTCTGTCGGTGCTCTCGCACACTGCCTGCTGCGGACAGTGAAATGGTCTTCACATTCCCTCCTTACTAATTCGAGCACACGTTTCTACTTTATAATTTCTCCCTTAAACAGACAAGTGCATGAGTCATACAGTAACTGGCCCAGGACAGTAAGCGTATTTTGTCGTGTCATACTATTTAATAACCGGTTTAACCTCTCCGTATTCCCTCTCTTACCCGCTGCCCGCTGCAGTTGTTGCCTTGATAGAGTTGATCCGGAGCCGGGTGGCGATGTTCCTGAGCGCCTGCACAGTCTGCTGGTCTGGTTTATGGTAGTCCTCCATCTGGCCGATGAACCGAAGAGCACACGCGCGCACACACAAGCCGGTTAAACAGAGGAAAGAGTTAAATGTCCCCGGTCTGCTGTTACGAGAATAAAGGCGATGAATGTGCAGCGGACGATGGCAGGGGTTAAAAAGAGACAGCGGTGTTGAACCTGAGCGAGAGAGAGGGGGAGGGGGGCGTGTTTGCATGCAAAGCCTATGAATATGGCTAATCTAGGGCTAAAAGGAGCCCACAGTTTACTCCAAACTGTCACGCATGAGCACAGCCAATAGTAGAAAGGGATCAGGCTGACCGCAAGGCCACGCTCACACACGGTCAGACGCACTCTGTTCAGGGACGCTCGGCTTCAGTCTCAATGGCTCCCTAATGACATGTTTTCAGGGAACTTTAAAACCTCAGTATGTGGCTGCACAGTTTCTACAGGAACACAATTTTGGTTCATCTTCACAGTGAGTGATATCGGGGCGTTTATTCTTACTGTGCCTACTCCCATCTCCTCGTGCAACTACTGTGTGTGTGCGCGCTTGCGCGCGCTCGCACTTCATACTAATGGACTTTTCTTGTAGTTGCACAATGTGGCGGTATTGATGTGAAACTGCAACTTGTCATATCTGCACCAATATAACCAAGAAACCTCAATAGTTGCATGTGGTATTAAAACAAAATTATGTTTACAAAGATAACAAGCTATTGAATTATAAGCTTTTAGAGTGCCATAAATTGTACCTGTCCTGGGAAGCTACAGCATTTGGATGAAGACAGGCAGGGAGGGTGATGTGCCAAAGGAAGGCTATAAATGGCAGTAATATAACCTTAATGACATTTCCCATTGAGGCTGACGTAACTGGCTGCAGTACAAACCTGCTACACCTGCAACACGCACTTACATGTCATACAGATAATGACTGACACGGTTACTTTTTCAATCCAAGCAGAGAGTTATTTTGCCTTTTGGATTTGTTTTGACACAGTTATCAAGGTTCATTTGAGAAGACTAACCTTTTCTCTTGTGATCTTGAGAAATCTAAAGGCTGGGTCACTCTTGCCACTGGCTGAGACTAACTTTCACATTTGGCCAGCAGGGGACCTGAGGAAGGGGTTTCAAAGGGGGACATAACATTTCCCGATCAATCTTGTTAATTAATATCTCCCTACTGAAAGGAGAGAGACAATTTGTCTTGTCACTTACACCCCGAGTGGCTCCCAGATCAAGTTCTCTGATGAAATAAACCCTTGCATGGGCCAAATAGCAACTGATCACAATTTAAAGTCGACAGAGTTCCAACCACAGACAGAAAATAAGCACCTAGCGACATCTGGTGGAAAAACAGATACTACATCATTCTCTTGTCCTTTTTATTAATGTAGTTAGACGTTCTCTCAATTTGTGTGGGCTACATTACACAACAGAAAAAGGAGTAAATTGGGAACCTCTGTTAGAAAATGTTAATTTGGACTCACAAATTTGACCGGTTTAAAACATACAAAAATTTAATTCACACAGCAGCTCCTCAGCAGGAAACAAACACAGACAACCCTATTTTCAAATCTTTAATATCACAAAATAGCCATAATAAACCAAATAACGCATAGTAACAACAATCTCAGAAAATTTATGTAATTTGCTAAGACTCTCCCAAATTCTTATTTCTGGCCGATAAGATAAATTATACTAAAGCGTAAAACAACCGTAAAATCTTAAATATCTAACTGGGATTAAAAAAACTCTACATTTAAATCATTCTTCCTGTGTGCGTTTATTTAACCAACACATTCCAGAAGTGTTGGCCAGATGACCTCTGAAATGAAAAATTATAACAGGGCAATGAAGTGTACAGACAATTTGAATCCTGGCTGTGGACATGTCCTTTTTGCATTACAAATCAAAATGTTGAAAAACACAGTTAACAAGTCAGTACGGAAAGCATGTGGATCTGAGTTCAAATTAAATATGCAGGACAGAAGAAAACATGACTGGCACATACTGCAAGTAAACATCAAATACATTCAAATAGCAGGACCAAATGCAAAGTCATGGTGTCACAATCAAGACAGAAATTCATATTGTCATTCAGCTATTTTCAATTGTTGATTACATGATTTTCTGAATGTTCCACAAGTGACATGAACATTTTCAAAGAGAGCGTTAATCTCTGCAATTCCTGTTGCTGCAAAAAAAGGAAAACGTCTATTTCAATCTGGAATGACTTGATATACTGATTACAAAGAGAACTACAGTATAGACATCGGAAAAAGTAGCCTGATCATCAATGAGCCGACTGCTGGCGTCAAACATCACTGTACCAGCTGTCAGAAAACCTTACAACTTAAATTTCCATGCCTCTACATCATTTTGAGATGGTTTTAATGGTCTTGTCTATGCTAACAGGGTAGATGGAAAAGCAGACGTCCAGATATACATTAGATCAGTTTTCACTGATGACAAACAGATGTGCTTCTTCCTGTGCTCGCTGCGGTCTGCAGGGTTTATAGTTCTGTGCTGCAGTAGCCTTTTACTGCAAACCCCCCCCAACAAATTACCACAATTTATTCTATCTTTAAGTCTTTATGACTTAAGATTTAACTGTGGGCTAGTGAAAAAATCATTGGAGGTAGGATTGGAGGTATTTTATGCGTCATTAGTAGTTTGGATTACTGGTTTGAAACATTCTGAAGCTATCAAATGCATTTATGGTTTTTGCTCATACTTGAAGTGTAGATCAGTTACAGGACCAGAACCCAGAGGTTTAGATAAGAGTTCTACTATACCATTGTAAAATATCCTAAAATGCTGGCATCCCTAAAGGCATAGCGACGATATTCTCCTGCGAGGTTCCCCTCCAAGTAAGCTCCTGTGAGCTCTGCTAGTGGAGGAGAGATGAACAATACAAAAGAAGATCAAGAATAGGGAGAAATGTGGTGAAGAAAGCTGCTTTGTGTGTCTGTGTGCCTTTATAAACTTGTCAGTCTCTAACATAACATTAAAAAAGGCAGCCCTCATTTTTAGTTTGAGCTGTTAGCTGCAAGTGCTTCTCCAAACAACAGAAGTTCTTTATCTTCCTTGGACGACCTTTTTAAGAGATACGGACACATCACAAAATGACACAACTGTAACGGTTGTTCGGTGTGTCTCTGTGGTGATACCAAAAATATACAGACCTCAGCATTACTTTAAGGGAGAAGGATCAATTAGTGAAAATTACTAGTCCTTTTGAACGCCACACAGTGGGACACTTTGTCTGCAAAGACCACCAAAACAGTTCCGAGGTCCGCAGCACAGAAGTCTTTTTTCTTAATAAGCAGTTGGAGTGTATGTTCCCATGCTCTTGCACTGCGAGAACTCCAAAGAAAGCAGCATCTGTGATTCTCATAATGTTCAAGCTGCAAAGTTGTCTGTCCCGTCCCAAGGTCAAAAGTCAAAAGATTTGATGTCACCGAAGCTCCACTGTGGTCCCATCCTCAAGGGAATAAAACCAGTTTAACTTTACCAGTACATGATCGAATGTTTCATCAAAATTTATAAAATAAGAAGGAAAACTCAAGGCCACACTGGGAAGTTCTAGCTCATTCTTCTCTCCTCTTGTAGCTCTGGTTTGACATAATTGGACAAAAAGCCACAAGAGTAGCAATCAGGATCAGCGTTCAGGGGAGAACTCAAAAAACAAGTTCTGAGTCAGGAACAGAGGAACGTTGCGGTGCACATGCTATATTAACGCTCAGAACACAGATTGGTTTTGTAGGGTTGTGGTGTGCAGTGTGCCAAAAACCTGTTATCCGCACTTCTTTTAATTCCCATTAGCTTCTGGATTCTTCACAGGTCATGAAGGGGTCAAAGCACAGACAGTGGTGAACAGCGGTGATGGCTGAAGGAGACTATAGCTTCATGTTGCTGAACTCCTGAGACAGACTCTGCAGGTAAGCATCATGAATGGCACTGAGGAAGTCTGGGTCGTTCTAGACAGGGACAAAGTAAACGAGAGAGGAATGAATACCCGACTCCTGAGAATGTTTGTCTATACACATTAAGATGACAGATTTTTCACTGGATTTCAACCTTTTCATTGGAAACATACACACTGTAAAATTGTTAATACATTCCTCTCACTTACTTTTAAAATATCACATCACGGATTCACATTGAAACACTCAAAATTCAACAGCAAGGTCTCTGTTACTCAGGATTGTTCACACAAGTGTTTTATCTAAATGATCTAATTTTATCAAAACTATCTAAATGTATTCAGGAACTAAAATAGATAATAAGTAGTAAATAATAAAAAAGTTCCTTTTAAGCATTCTTAAGCATGCTTTCCACTACATCTGAAGAATTGTGAAGATTTGGCAAAGCAATGAATAAAAAGCAGCATTTGATACACAATTTTCAATATAAGAAAACAACAGGGTTGTCCTGTTGTTCAAATTTACTGTTGAAAATAAGAAATACAGACATGGAAAATTCCAGACAAGGGTGTCATGGTTACTTATTTTAGCTTTAGAACGTAACCATCAGCAAAAAAAGCTTTATTTCTCTTTGGGTGAACAGACCTTCACCCTTGAGCAGCGGTTGGCAATAGGTGGCCCGCGGGCCGGTTCTGGCAATAATATCTGATTGCTTTGATTGCAGAAAAATTTAAAAAATGATAGCGGCTGGTGCTGAAATAGATATCAGTCATGACAGCTATAGTTACTCACACAATCTCTTCCTCTTAAATGATTGTGTGGCAGCAATGCTTCATGACAAGTTTATTGAGAGCTTTTACTTTGAGGAGTTCTGAAAGACATTCAAAAGAGACTCTGGCCTGCTTGACAGACCTCTGAAAAAGCAGTCAGTAAACGTGTGATTGGATTCCCCTGAATTTCCTCAGGGAAATGAAAATAAGCGTCCATAGGTGTATGAATGTGGATCAAACGCTGGGACGCACACAAACTGCAGCACATGCTTTATTGTGAGCATGTGCAAAAGTGTCCTTATAATCAATTTGTTTAACAAAGGAGAAAAAAATACCCGCTGGAAATTGGGATTGATCGTGCAACCTTCCAAACGGGAGTCCCGTAAGGTATTGAGCTTTGACTTTCCCCCCACTCCAACGTGCCAACAGTACTGCTTTTATGCATTTTACGCCTTTGGTGTACCTTAATGAGGTGTATCAGGGTCTCCTGTAGCTGTGTTTTGCTGCAGAGGGCTTGTGGCGGGTCTCCTACAGAGGTGGAGGAGGGCTCGGAGGGGGAAGGAGGGACCACTGATGCTGCTGCTGCTGTTTTACTGATGGACTGCTGGAAGGCGCTGGGGGAGAGAAGCACCTGCGGCCCTGGAACAACAAGACCTGGACTCATGGGGACAGCCTGAGAATAGAAAAGGAAGGACAAAGAAAGGACATGCTGGATTATGATCCAATCTCTCGTGATATAAAAGTATATGTGAAAGGCATGGCACTGATGAGGATGATATCAGCAAATAGATCCACAACAACAGCTGGTAAGAAAACCAGTGTACTCACAGACATTGGTTTGATCAGGTTTGTAGGCGGCGAGAAAACATCCATCTCCTTGCTGTGCTGGAGAGGGGGTTTCCCCATGGGCTCTTGGAAACTGTGGGGTGGGAACAGCGTGCTTGGCAGGAAGTTTGGTGCGAGGATAGGTTTGTGGATGTCTGAATTCATACATTGCACTGCCGGTTTGAGCGTGCCGAGTATGTCCTGTCCCAAGTAGGCGGTGGGAGCTGCTGATGGTGCTGTAGGACCAGACGGAGCGGCACGAGGCTCTGAGCCAGCTGGAGGCACCATGAGAGGGGAGACTGAGCACCGAGGCTGGGGGTCTGACCTGGGGACCACTGATTTGAAAACAGGGGAGGAGTGTAGCGTGTACTGAGCTGGGAGCAGACCAGGGGCTTGGTGCTGATGATTTGACCCAGGGTCTTGGGCTGCAAGATGAGGAGGGAGGTGGTTTTGGTGGGCTGGAGTGGGATAAGACTGGTTTTGGAGGTAACCTGTGGAAGGGTCACTGGAAGCAGTGTTCTGTGCAGGCATGGTGGATAAAGAGGGGTCTTTAGGGAGGGGTGATCCAAAGAGCTCCTCAACTGTGATCTGCTTCACCATTGAATGAGAGCTCTGGTGGATTAAAAGAACAAATCACACTTCAATCAATAGCACTTCCTTAAATGTGAGAATTTGCTGCTTTTCTCTCTTTAATATTACTGTACATAAAACACTGCTGTGCAGGAAATCCTTGAGAGCAGAAATATTTCTTGAAACTTGGCAGAGGAGAAAATGGCACCAGCAGTGCACAGTGACACTGCAGTACCAAACCAAATCTGAAGATCCCTTTACTGTCCCTATGGAGACTACGATGTACCTCCTACTAGGTCATTCTCTACTGGCTTATGTAACCATCTTATTGGATGTTTGAATTCAAATGCTTACCGAAGTTATGTCACAATTAGGAGGTCACATGTAATACTTTCTAATGGGAGACAGTCTGTCTGTAAACATCTAAGACTGAAGAAGAGCACCGTATCTCTTGTCCTTTACTGTCTAGGCAATGACTCGTTCCTATCTACTAGGGGTCAACCAATAATCGGCCTGGCTTCTTATCATGGCTGATGTTCAGCTTTTTCCCAATAATCTGCACCAGCTATTTTAAAATCAAAGTGCTGATATAATGAATTAATAAAACATGCGCCAACTTTGGCTCTGATGCAGCCGCCTCTCTGTCTGTACTCAAGTCCCGCCCACAGTACTGGCAGGTTGGTAACAAGTCACAAGTATTAGCCTATCAACACTGGCTATAGTGTGGAAGCAGTCAACAGAATGAGTGAGCATCACGCTGCAGCCCCTCCCCTCCTCTCTCAGCAGAGCTCCGCTACACACACGGAGCGCAGTGAGCGGAGATCAGTGTGGATTACACAAGTTGACCATAACTACTGCTGTTACTGTAAGTAAGTGCAGCAAAACCAGCAGTACTAGTAAAAGGCTGATACTGCATCAGTACAACATGCAGGAACGTGTACAAAGCAATATTTTAATCTGCTCTGTCTCATCCACCGCAGCTGTGTTTTGGTTTTACAAAAGCACATGTGCTAGCTCGGCTAATTGCTAGTTATAAATGAGCTAAAATTAAATCTCTCTGTCTGTAGCCTGTTTAGCCGAGATGCTACGTACCTTAAAATTTAACAAAGCCTTGTAAACTCTGATGCTTGTTGAGAGAAACTACCTCCTCTCTACCAGCAGCAGCAGAAGGAGGAGGAGGAGGAGGAGGACTGCCATCTTCAATCTAAACTTCACTCAGTATTTGGATGTCAGGAATATAGTTTATAATATAGTTTATTTTACATGTTCAATTTGTTTCCAGTGAGATACGGATTTTATATACAACAGAGAGGGTGGCTTGCTGCTGTAAACATTCATTTTGTTACTACTCTGAAAACAGTTAGTTATAATAAAATATTAATTTTGATTACTGTTCTGAATTTATTCTTTTTTTAAAGGCAATTATTTAGTAATGAAAAACCAATAAGAGTACAGATAAAGAACAGTAAATAGTATCAATAAAATCCTAACAATATCTAAATGGCAGCAGGTAAAGACAAAGTTTATGATAATTTATCCCTCATTGTAAACATAAAATCAATTCAGAATTGTGTGTACCTTTTCAGGTTGTGGTGTGCTGTGCGCACGCTCTGTGGCGGTGATAGCTGCTTTCACATTAGGCTCTGCAGACACATCTGTTTCACCTGCCTGAGCCTGCAACACACACACACACACACACACACACACACACACACACACACACACTAAAATCAGGGGTTAAGGAACTGGAACAGGCATAAATTCAGATGTCACCTCTAGATCCCCAAACAAAAATAAACCCAGATTTAGTACCACTGTAATATCAGATATGCATGTGGGTGACTCCTAAAGGTGTATCTGCTGAGTCACACCTGTCAAAGTGTTTCAATCAGTGTTTAAGACATATGGATGGGAAAGACTTTATTCCTCAGATCCTGGGTTGGTGGCCTGTGATGTGAAGTTCATGTTCCTGTATATATTACCTGCAATGAAAATGAATGTTCTGATATCTGTAATAAGTATCCAATACCAGTACTAAAATAATTATAAGCAAAACATATTTGCTCATCTAAGAACCTAAATAACATGTTATGTTTGCCTCCTCACTCTCTGGTATTCCTCCTTGGCTTTGCTGAGCAGCTCCAGGATGTCGATGGGCCGTGGTTCTGGGACACCATTGGTCCTCCGCGGCTCTGCCTTCTCTGGCGACTCCCTCTGGGCGTGGTCTGCTTCTTGTTTCACAATCCTGGGGAAGAATAAAAGCGTGACATATAGTCTACACAACTACCTGTTTTGTTTGTTTTCTTTGTCACATGTGTATGTGTATTCAACTACTCCTTGTGAGGAAAGCAGAGCTGCTTCTAAAGTTGGCACCTAATGGATGAGGAAACAGTAAAGAGCTAACAATGAAGTGCTGTCCTAACTCATCACTCATCAA